TGTGTGGTTAAGAAATTATTTTTGCCTACATTAAACTCTGTATTCACATTTATTTCAAGTACATACATTATGATCTCAAGCATCAAATTAAATAATAAGTAACAGAATAAAAATAATTCAAATACATATACTTGAAATAAACTTCAACAAAAAATATAATTTGCATAGTACTATACCCATACTAATAAAGCACTACTACTTCAAGAAGTTCACTAGCAATGAACTATTCAAAACCGAATGTATTTATAACAATAAACGTCACAATCGTTAAAAAAATCTTCATCATTCGCGTCAATAGGTCAAATTCATTTGTTGCCACCATTTCCAATTGCATCATCCGCATTTTCCTACACAATCAAAATGAAATTAAAAATTAGAAAAAAAACCTATATATAGTATGCATTGGTTATAACAACATGTCTTATTAATAATTAATGAGGTTTATTTCACTACTAAAGCATAACTAAGTCAAACACAGAAAAAGAGGTGCAAGCCAAGGAGAAGCAAAAACGTGAATTAATAACCTGATTACATCCCAATATCTCAGAAAGCTTTGCCAAACCTAACGATTTGGACCATTAAACTTCCTGAGGCTTCACCATACATACCCTTTAACAGAGGATCATTCAAGGGAACCTCTTGAACTCATTCTTGACCAAATGGCTAGAACAAAAAGAACAATGATTTTTTCAAGAGTGTCAGCAGCTATGAACCTGTAGTTCATTGCATAAGGATTGTTGGAAGCAATGAAGTGAATGTTAAAATTATAATAAACTTGTTTCATTAGTTCACATTTATATTAAATATGTTTAGATTAGTTCATATTAGTATGAGATGTATGAACAAGTGTAGACTAATGTGAACTTCGTTATATGTATGAACTAGTGTAGACTAATGTGAACTTCATTATGAGATGTATGAACTAGTGTAGACTAATGTGAATTTAGTTAGTGTGTTTACATGAAGTTTAGGCTAGATACATGTAGGAGTTCTACTATAAATACCCATGTATGCTAGCCATTTGGAACAAGTCAAGTTGAATGAAAAATATCATTTCTTCTCCATTCTTAAAGTGAGTTGTGAGTGTTTGAGTGTTTTGTTGTCTTGCTCTCCCAAATTATTTTTTTTCCAACATTTGGTATCAGAGCCGGTGTGGTTGAAGACAACAAACTTGGAGAAAAGATGACGAATTCTAACGGAACACCATTCCAAGTTCCTATGCTTACAAAAGAGAACTATGGAAATTGGTGTATTCGAATGAAGGCCTTGCTTGGTGCCTATGATGTTTGGGAACCAGTAGAGTCCGGTGTTGATGAAGCAGAAGATGTCGTTGCCTCAAAGAAGAAGGATCAAAAGGCACTCACTCTCATCCATCAAGGTTTGGATGACAAGATGTTCGAGAAGGTTGCAAATGCAACAACCTCCAAGGAAGCATGGGATATTCTTCAAACTTCTTTTAAAGGTTTGGACAAAGTGAAAAAAGTTCGCCTCCAAACCTTAAGAGGAGAGTTTGAATCATTGCATATGAAGGAAAATGAATATGTTGTGGATTATATTTCGAGAGTTCTGGCTATTGTCAATCAAATGAAAAGATATGGTGAAGAGTTGAAAGACGATAGGGTCGTGGCAAAAATATTACGATCCTTAATTTCAAAATTTGATTTTATTGTTGTTGCCATTGAAGAGTCCAAAGACTTGGACACCATGACCATAGACGAGCTTTCGAGTTCCTTGCAAGCACATGAAGAGAAGTTGAAGAAACCGAAAGAAGAATCGGTTGAACAAGCGTTGCAAGCAAAATTTTCTTTCAAAGAGAAAGATGAAAGGCGTGGCTCGCAACAAAGAGGCCGTGGAAATGGAAGAGGTCGTGGTAGTGGCGGAAGAGGAGGTAGTCAACCACTTTCAAGTAGAGAAAATAAAGGCCAAGACTTTAATTCAAGAAGAGGTCGTGGAAGAGGGAAAGGATGGAGGCAAAAATCAAGGAAGGTATGACAAATCAAATATTGAATGTTATACTTGTCATAAATTTGGTCATTTTTCTTGGGAATGTAAAGATAACTTTGAAGAGAAAAATAATTTCGTGGAGAGCAAAAATGAAGATGAAGATGCCACCTTGCTTCTCGCATGCAAAGGAGAAGAAAGTGTCGAGAAGCACCGATGGTACCTTGATTCCGGTGCAAGTAGCCATATTTGTGGAAAGAAGGATTTATTTGTGGAACTTGAAGAGTTGAATCGTGGCACAATCACTTTTGGAGATTCTTCACGTGTTAAAATCAAAGGAAAAGGTACGATTTTAATTCGCTTGAAGGATGGAAGTCATCAATTAATTTCTAATGTTTTATATGTGCCGGAGATGAAAAGTAACATTTTGAGTTTGGGACAACTTTTGGAGGAAAATTATGACATTCATTTGAAAGATAAAAAGTTGTTTATGAGAGATGAAAAAGGAGATTATTAGCTAAAGTTCCTATGGCTAATAATAAAATGTTCATTTTAAATCTTCAAAATGATGCTCCAAGATGCTTACTTTCATGTGCCAAAGACTCCTCTTGGCTTTGGCATATGAGATTTGGTCACTTGAATTTTGATAGCTTAAGGTTGATGGATAAGAAACGATGGTGAATGGATTGCCAAGTATAATCATCCACCAATTTGCGAAGGATGTATCTTTGGAAAGCAAGCTAG